CATTAAAAATACAAGAAAAATACACAAATCAACCTTCAACAAACTTGCAGAAAAAAACAAATAAAAGCAATAAACAAATAGCTACTAAGAAGACAAACTTACTTTAATACCAATAAAAAACAGATGATCAGAAACTTGCTGGACAATCCAAAAAGATACATCACAATAGACAAGCTGATCACAAACACTTCAGAAGAAACAATCATAACAGATCCAAAGAAAATCAAAGAAGTAGTTAGCAAACACTTCCAAAACTGGATTGGTAAATACAACATCAAACCAATCCATTCTACAATCTGAAAAGAGAAATACAAATCAATGCAACAAATCAAAGAGGGATGGTACATCAACACAACCACCACTATTATAGCTGAGAAAATTTAAGATGTTCTCAAAAAGTGTTTCAGCAAATCTGCATCAGGACCACTGGGAATCCCTTATATCACACTCAAAAAACTAACTAAAGAAACAACTAATTACATTGCAGACCTCTTTAACAACATTCTACAAATAGGCAAAATACCAAATGAATAGAACCTAGGCAGCATATATTCCATCCCCAAGCCAAAACCATAGAAAAACAACATCAATATAACAAGACCAATTACCCTCCTCGAAACAACATGAAAAACCTTTATCAAGATAATTAATAATAGACTAGCCAAAGTCTTCATTACTCACCAAATCTTATTTGAACACAATTGGGCAGCCCTTTCAGGCTGCAGCATACAGAAACCTATTTATATTTTCAGAGCAATTTAAGATAATGCAAAACAAAATAGCAAGCAAGCTTGGATCCTAAGCCTGGACATGGCAAAAGTCTTCAATTTGATAAACATTTAAAGACTCAAATTGGCACTCCAACAAATTAAATGCCCAAACACAATTATTTAAATTATAATCAATATTTGTAACAACAAACAGAATCATGTTCTTACACCATTTGGACTATCACCACAATACACAGTAAAAGATGAAATTAACCAAGAAGATACTATATCTCCCTTACTCTAGAGAATTTTCTATGACCCACTTCTAGCTCGGATCTCAAGAACAAGAAAAAGATATATCCTCATAACAAAAAGGTGGAAGGAACCTACAGCACCACCAACCATTACAATTCAAAACATATTATGTCTCGCATTTATGGACAACACTACCCTAGTAGCAAATAATCAAAAGAGACTACAAAAAATAAGTGATATCTGCTCAGACTTCTTCTTAACCAATGACATATACATCAATATATCCAAATCAAACTTACTAATTCTCAACTCTGACTACAAAACATTCAACAAAATCTTAATTCAAAAACAACTGATCACAATGTTTCCATCAAACCAAACAGCCAGGATCCTAGGAATCTACCTAGAAGGCAAGGGAACAAAAGCATTTCAACAATAACTAATTAGAAAAAAAACATTAAAATACACTAACACAATTAAATAGAAAGCAACAACAGACAAACAAATCAGACACCTTCGCAATCAAGTCTGGACATTAATAATAACATACCTTCTATCAGATCTGATCCTCACTGAATCTAACTGCAATAAAATTATGAACATCTTCAATCCTATTTACAAATACAAACTCAATCTCACGAAATCAGCACCCAATACAATTCTATATAATCTACTCAAATATGGATTTTTCCACCTATGGGACAAACAATTACTGGTCCATGCAAACAAATGGTACAAAAGAATCAATAGACAAAATATCATAGAAAAAATCACAAACATGCACTTACAAGAAATACAAAACAGATAGTGATCAACCAAAGTGATAACAAGTATACAATTCACAGACACATTCTTATCCTAAGGATATAACTTCACATATAACCTTCTCTTTCTACTTAGACAACATGATTATACAGGCATTGCACAAAACCTTCAACTCGTGAAAAAAACAAACACAAATATCAAAAAAATAACCAATCCAACATGGTATAAGAAAAACAGAAAATAGCTTGCAACAAATCAAATCCTTTTTTTAAATCAAATCACCAACTACATAGGATCAAGACTAATAACATGGGCAGAAATAATAACAACAAGCAAAAAACTCAACAGAAAAACATCTAACTGGTTCAAAGAAATCCAATAAAATCAAAAAATTCTAACTCTAACTGAAAGCAGACAAACACAAAACCAAGTTGCAAAAATGGATCATAAACTAGCAATTGAAACACCCAACCAAGAAATCAAGTAGACTGCATCCTAGGAAACCAACACAAGCATAATGGGAAAAAAGTGAGCTATTTATAAAAACACAATCAAACTTCAACACTATATCAAAACCAACAACTGCTCCCTTCAAAGAAATGCAACAAATGTCCATTGAACACCTCAGGAAAACAAGAAGAATGCATCTTCCACAAAAAGAAAAACAGCCTAATATATATTCCAGTCTATAAAAGCAGAACTAGCTCAAGAAACACATTCTTCAAAAAACTCTGCCAATAAAGCAGAATATCACCTGACAGCTTAAACAACATTCTCAAAGACAAATTCTTACACCCTACTTTCCCTTTACCGCTATCTATCTCAAATGACCAAATAGCTATTAACAAAAAAATCATTAACAAATACATTATTTCAACAGAACAAACAATCAAAGAACTGGCAACAATATATCACAAATAAAAAAACTCAAAAAAATCTCAGTATACATAGATGGATCTTTAGATCTTAATCAAAAAATAAGATTCGGCTAGCACATCACTCAAGAACTATATCTCAGATTCCAAGGAAGAATAAACAAATTCCTATACTCCACAAGAGCAGAACTCGCAACTATTCTAACCTTCCTCACAACAGCTCTTGCCAACAGCAAAATCACCATTTACACTGACAGCCAAGCAACTCTAAGAGCAATAAACAAAGCACAAGCTAATCCAGCCAAATTGCGAATACTAAGAAACAACAATATTATCAACTCTATAATCCATATCATAGAGAGCCAAAAACTTTCTATAACATGGAAGAAAATCCATGCACATAGCAACAACAAACACAATAACAAAGCAAACCTTTTAACCAAAAAAGCAATAATTATAGGAAAGGCATCTGAAATAATATACATATCCATTAGAAACAACAGAATGCAATGAATACAAGAATGAAATAGCAATACATTAGATAACACAATTACAATCTCAATTAAAAATCTTATTAAAACAAAATATATCCTAAACTGGAGAAGCTTAGACCGCAATCTTATAACAACTGATAATAACTCCACACTAAATAATATCGTATGGGAAGAATCATTAACGAACAAAGCATCATCAAAACTTACAACAGAACCAATCAACTGAAAAGACCATATTAACAGATTCTTCAGATCCAGACTATGGAATCCAGAGCTATTTATCAAGATCAAATTATACAAAAGAGCAGCAAATACCTACACAAACAACCAATGCATTAACTATTAACAAACAGAAACCAATACACACTATATTATATATGAGAAAAATGAAGCAGATATATAGTATACAAAAAGTTACAACAAATAATCAATGAAGATGTTAGCAGCAGAAGCAACAAAACTATAAAACACAACCTAAACAAAGAACTCAATAAACAAGTAAAACTCTGGACAAATGAAATTAAAAACCACATAACAAGAGGAGCCCTTACAATAGATATGATAAAAACTATCAAAAAGTACACATTGGCAGAAAACCAAAAAAAAATAATCAAAATATTGTAAACAAATTTCTTAACACAATTCAAGAAAAATGGAACCACAGATGCAACAACTTGGCACAATAGAAAAAGAACACAACATCACAGCCAAAGATAAAAAACAATAGAAACCCATAAGCATAAAGAAGAACACATACAAATCTTCCATCCCAGGAATCCATGTAATTATGCAACATGCTAGCTATCATTGAATCAACTAAAATACAATTTATATTTTTAAAACAAGATTTTTATGGGACAGGTAAAGCCTTGGCAAATTAGTTAAGTATATATCAGTACTTGGCAATAAGCCACATGGTAGAATTATTCTTAGTGAGTTTAATTAGGTAGATAGAGTAATAAATTTGTATAAAATAAATTTGTACATACTCATCAAAAAATATTTAATAAACAAGGTGTAAGCCACCTGTTTAAAAAAAAAAGTTATAATATTGCTTAAGTAATAACTAATCAAATATAATAATAAAAAATATTTGATTTTATTTATAAATGAATTAAACATAATTTAAACAAAACAATTAAATTAAATAATCATAATTATATTATTCTATAAAATATTATAATATAAAATATTGATTTTTAATAAAAAAAAATATAATAATTTAGTAAAAATTTTATTTACTATATAATAAAAATTTGCTTAAGCCTATTTTATGAAATTTTTTAATAAAATTTTTTAAATAAAATTTTCAAATATAAAAAATTCTTTATTTATAAGGCTTATTTGTTTTATATAAAATATAACTTTATTTTTTTAGATTTTTTAAAAATTTTTTATTTAAATTTTTATATTTTTGATATTGCAAGTATTTCTCACACAAGTCAGAAGGTAAATATTAATTTGAATTAAACTCCTAAGTACGTGCAAGTACCAGTTTTTAACTTAGAACTCTATCTTAATATATTTCTGAAATCTAATCTAAGTCGGTTTGCAATTTTGCCACCCTATCCTATTCATTTATCTGAAATGTGTCCAACCAATTATTCAATAACTACATTATAAAATTCCAATCTTCTACTATCCTTATCCCACTCATAATACTAATTTTAGAGTAAAAAACAAATTATTATTGAAGCAAGCACCAATAAGATAATCTATCTACAAAGCAATTACACAATCAGATAAAAAAGATAGTCGCGTAAGTTTTCCTGCTACGCAGAATTATCGGTCAAGATAAAGATGCTTAATTTCTTTTGATAAATTCATAATATAAGGATACATTAAAATACATTTTTACTCAATTGACAAAAAATAGTGGCCTTTAAAAAGATATAATATAATCAAAGCAACCACGTTTGTTTCCAGTTAATTGATTTAAATGAGCCTTTTTTAATATCATTAACATAACACTTGTTATTAATCGCGACGCCTGCGCAGACAAAATAAAAACAAAGGATATGATTAAGTTCATCCAGAAGGGCAGTGTAACAGGCGATTCTGGAAGTGTTTATAATAATAAACTCAATCTGTTTATCCACAAGTTTCAAATGTAACGAAAAATGATCAAGCCGTAAACTTGTCTCGATATAATCTTCGCAGATAACTTTATCCGGGAATTGTTTTTCTAATTCTGAGAAATCTATCCTAATATTGGTCGATGAACACAACGGGAAAATATTTCCAGCAAGTTTTGGTAGATCTTTAACATTTGTCGAGTGAACCCGATATTTCCGACCGAAATGCGTCTCAACTAACCATTGATCCCATTGTTTAAACAATTCAGATGAAGGTTCGCTTTTAAAAGATTCTGTTTTATCAATAGATATTGGCAGTAGTTCTTCTGGATTATTGTATGCGATATCTGAATGAATAAGATCCAGAATTGATATATCGGTAAGGTAACCTTTAAAGCTTTCCAAAGGTCCATATTTGATTTGATACTCCTTCACAAAATTTTTTATCCATTTTTCGGAGAATTCAGGATCAGCTATTTTAAGGTCTCTTGAGTCGGGTGGAGACTGAACGAGAAATTGTGATATCAGGTAATATGGTGAACTATTTCGACAACTTGCTATTGCAAGATGATAATTAATCGGATAAAGTTTCAATCGATGTTGTGATCCTTTTAATGTGGCGATACTGACTTTCTTTCCGTGTTTTTCAACCCAGTCCAAGGCTTCTAAAGGGTTATTGGAATAGTGAGAATCTCTTATTGATAAAGACGTGAATTTTATATCAAAATATCTCCAATTGCATTCGTCCATGCCATAGACATCACCATAATTTAAATATTGAGTTAGTAATATCGCTATGTTTTTAATACTTGGGGATTCACTGATCCAGACTCCGTCACAGAAAAGACCATTTCCCCACAAGCTTGAGACCCCATTTGGTGAATTATGATGATAGACTGCTGAAATATTCTCAGCAAATAATGCATGAACACCGGGTCTCGATGATCGAATGAAATATTTTAATCCCGGAACGATAAATACAAATAAAAACCTCAGGCAAGCAAGGATCCTACCACTATAATCCCAATGAAATATAATGGCATCTGATGGATTGAAAGTAGGATCTTCTGTGATAACTAGATGATGATCTTCGTTTGGATTGAAGGATCTATAACAATAGGTTCCATGACAACTATAAACGCCGAAAGTTCCGTTTTTTGGCAAACGGTAAATAATATCCATGACATATTGATCTATCTTATTTATATTTTCTTTAGATAGTCGAGGAGAATGCATCAAAGATGGATCTACGGAATGAAATAATAGCGAGTCAGGCTTCCTACCATAATGCAATCTCTTGTCTGATCCAAAATATTTTATTTCCTTAACTGGCTCAGTAAATGATCTAAGTTCTTTTTTAATTAACACCCATCGTTTGAGTAAATATGGGGCGTCCAGGCTGGATGTCGACCCTGGATTTTCTTTTATATCAGCCATATCTGAGTTTCTTCTACTCTAAATACAGTACATTCAAGTTACAGTACTGTAATAGATGATCAAACGTAACACAACTACATCAGTACTCTCATCACAGGTCATTGGACTGACGACCAATTTAAATATGATTGGCCACTCACCAAGTTTACGCGTGTTATTTCAACGTACAGTACAACCTATCCATTGCACACTGGTTTCGTGGGTTTAAGGGGCGAGTATACCTGAAGTCCCCTCCCCCGTAATACTGTATTATTATCAATAAAGGTTTTATTATATACAAAACTGAAGCTTATCATGGTCAACTTATGACACGCTTACTTTAACAAAACAAAAGCAGAGGTTTGCAAATTTATATAGAGTGAATCCGAACTAACGAGAGGATCCAGAAATTTATCTTACGATAAGTCTTTAGACTTACTTGAAAAAAGTCTCCGTGCGATTTTTAATAAATACGCAGACGATAAAAAAATCACGAAAGCAAATAATTTTTTGGCCGTTATTAGAGCAAGTTAATCTTAGTATGATTTTTTTGAATGCTACATAAGTGTTTTTATGTAAAACAAACCAAATTTTTCATTTACAACAAGGAATCGTTGCTTTTAGCTATTCCTCTGATGGGATTCTCGCTCTATTTTCTGGATTTATCAGCGAGTAGAAACCATAAATTCATTTAGGCATCCATGGCTAGAAGTTTGACTTTTTGCTGCTCTTCTGAAGGGCTTTTGGCTTGCTGTGACTTGATGTAATATTTATTGCTATTGACTTGCAGATAATGTATAGTTATTAGATCAAAATAATTAATGGTTTTCAGAATCAACGAAAAAAAAGGCAAGAATATAGATAAATTTTGCCTTCCCATTGTGTGCTCAACAGTTAGACAAAAAAAGAATGAAAATAAAAATCCTTCAGGTAATTAACTTAACTGTATAAAAATTAAAAATGACTTTTCACAATTTCTCTCTTTTAACCGAATACAACAGGTTATGGATATTACTCAAGCTACAAGTCAAAGCCAACCATACGCGTCTACATTGAAGAAAGTCTCTTGCAAACTTGAAACTTACTGCAGCTAACTAAATCAAAATCAAGAACTATTTTGATGTGAGAAGTGCGCAATCCAAAAAATAGTTTCATATTCAGGAAACAGTCCGTTCTTAGCATGCGAGGAGATATGATAGTTCTTATTGAAAATATATTAATCACCCAGTTTTACTTTTCCCAATGCTTTTTTTCTGTGAACAGTATGTATATATACAGGAGATTTTAAACAAAGGGATAAAATTATCAGCTCTTATTAAACAAGAAAGTGAAATAGAAAGAAATGCTTCTATATACAAAATATATGTTATAAAGGATACAAGAATGTAAAGGATATTGGTTTTCTATTGTTGATTTCTCTCCCAAGTCATGTCTTCTGGAATTATAGCTTCACTCAACTAGTGGATAGTTTTAAGATCCCTTTCTCCAACCATTTTCAAAATATATATTGGTACTTCAACTTGTTATCAGATTGTGATAGGACCTAGATCTTGTTGCTACTTCTTGTCCTCAAGAAAGAATAGGGAAGAAAAAAGAAAATAAAAGGATGGAAATAAAAAGAGATTGCTTCTCTTCTACTCACAACTTCAATTTCATCCAATACCCCTATACTATTTCTTCAACTAAAAACCATCTAACTCTTTCAGGAACCAATTACATCATCAGTTTGATATTGCATGACTAAAAATATGTGAGAAGTACATATCTTGTTTACTTTTTCTGTAGCTGACATGATCAACCAATCCATGACCTTGACCAATCATCTTTCAGGAAATCCTGTATGATCAAAAAATTCAGGATCAAATTGAGGTAGGCAAAATTCTCTAGAAAAACTAGAAAAAAAGAAGCATACTTGAGAAAAAAGAAATAGAAAGTCAAAAAGATAATAGGAAGACTAAAGACTTCTTTATTCTTGTTTCTTTAGATTCTTGAATCTTTTGGACTCTTTGGATGTATTTTTTCTTGTCAGTTTTCTTCCTATAAAGGTGTTTTTGCCATAGACTTTTTAGGTAGGTTTCTTATATTTAGTCACAAAAATAAACAAGAAAAGTGTTTTGAAAAAGAAAAATAAAACAAGTGATAGCTTCTGCTCACTCGACTAGTTAAAACCAGTATTGTTTTTAAGAAAAGTATATAGACTTTATTATTATAAAGACAAAAAATCTTTTGAGAATATCTGTTTTTCAAGTTAACAAAAGGGTCAGTGAAAAAAAAAACAAATTTTAATCTAATTTTCTAAGCTTTTTTCTTTTTAGGCTTATATATATATATATATATTTATTTAATATTCTTATTAAATTTATTAATAACTTTCAAGTTATATAAAATATATATATAATTAAAGATTTAAAGATAAAAGAACTTTACAAATTATATAAATTTTAATAATATTAAAATTTTTGGGGGTTTCTCCAGTAGGTAAACATCATTTTTTATTTTGATTTGTATATAACAAGATATATATTATTGAAAAAAACAACATTTCTTTCATTATTTCAAGAAAGTTAAATACTAGCTTGCCTACTTATCAATATTTAACTAATATTGTAAAAAAATTCAAAATCAATATTAATGTGCTAAATAAGGCTGAATAGCAGCTATGCCTACTATTCCAGGAAATTTTGTGAATTTTTTTTATTTTTTGAATATAAAATAAAAATAAAAGTAACTATAACTAAAACTAAATCAAATGTATTATAAAATTTATGTGTTAAACGAAAAAATCACCTGGTGGACTTATGGTTTCAACTCTCTGTTCTTCTATATGATATTGTTTGTTGTTATTATTGTTGGTAATGAGTTAGTTGTTGTTATTGTTTTGATTATTGTTGTAATACAAAACTGGTTTGAGCTTATTTGGTTTTTGCTTTGATCATTAGACGAAATCTGATTGGATAATTGAAAAGTGCTAATCATCTGAAAAAGATAAACTGATTTTGGTTTTTTAAGTAAAAATTTTTTGGAGATTGAAGATGGCACAACAAATATTGCAACGAAAATATTGTGTATAAGAGTTGACTTAAAACAAACAATAGACTCACTAACTCTATTTAAGTATGTGTTTTGAAAAATATTTGGTTTAGCGAGTATAATGGTGATAATATAAATAATTTTTATAATAAAATAAGAATAAGGAGGAATACAAGAGAACTGAAGAAAAAAAACTATCACAGGTCTTTTTTCATATAACTGAAGGATAAACAAGACTCCTAAACTTGAATAAACTTTGACCAGAAATTATATTCTACTGCACTAGTTATTTTGAAGGTTCTTGAGTTCCTGAGCTGGAGCTTACTTGTGATAAAGAAAGTAAAACATCTTTTCTTGTTTAAAATTACCATAAAAAAAAAGTTTTAACAAAATAAATGCAATCAAGAGAGAGTTTTTTTTTAATAATATTAAAAATTTTTTTTGCATTATCTAATATTACTATTTAAATTTGTATTTTTAATTAAAGAATTTTTTGAAAAGTATATTAAAAGATTGTTTTATTAAATAATTTTGATTGATATTAATTTGAATTTAAATTTAATATAAATAATTTATATGGATTTCTATTATATTTATTAATTTATTTTTAAAATTAATATAGAAAATTAATTTTTATTATTTTTCTAAGATATTTAATCTTGTTTTTTTGAAAAAGAGATGATTTACATCTTTATTTAAATTAAAATAAATATATATTAGTTTGTTTATTAATATTTAATATATCTAAAATTCAATTAACTTAAAAATACAATAGTTTGAATAGTACTAAGAATTATATTTTATTATAAAAGTTGTTGTCAATATAAATAACAATATTTCTTGATTAACATTATCAAGTACTACTGATCACAAAAAAATTAAAAACAAATTAAACTTTTTTATATCTTCTAATTTTAAATTTGTAACTTTTATAGTAAATTTTCCTTAACACCTAACAGATTACAGAAAAACCTCCTTAAATGGACCCCCTTGGAACCCAAGAGCAAGTGTGCATTTAGAGAAGGTATACATTTAAAGAAAAAAATTTTTTTTATTAATTCCAATTAATTTTGCCCAGCATTATATTAATTCCTGTCAGTTATTTTAATTTTGCCCGATTTTATATTAATTTCGGTCAGTTATCTTAATTTTGCCCGGTTTTATATTAATTCCGGCTAATCATCTTAATTTTGCCTGGCTTTATGTTAA